AGGACATGATTGCCCTTCATTACCGTGGAAATAACGTTGGCGAAGTTCTATTGCTTTTGCCGGTGCTTGTGCCTTCTCGTCTTTGCAATCCAATTCTACTTTCCGCCCCTCATATTGTATTCCTTCACTTCGGGCTCTCCGAAACTAACCTCGCTACTCGATCCATCCTCTTTGAAACTTCCTTTTTTCACAATTTCGTTTCGTTTCGTTTCTCCCAAGTTGTTTTGTTAACAAAAAAGCAAGTCCTTCACCATTTTTTTTCCTGACCAACTAAAAAAACCTCTGGGTCACCTCTGCTATTCTCACCATTTGATCCATCTGCTAGTGGATCATCTCTGTGAAGCTTCTACCTTTTTTTCACCATTTCATTTTGTTTCATTTCTTCCAAGTTGTTTTGCCCACCATTTCTGAAAATTTCTTGCCCAAAAAAAAAAAAAAAACAAAAAAGAAGAAAAAACTCAGGTTTATTCATGTTCACTTTGATTCTGTCCAACTAAACGAACCTCTTTATCTCACTTCTGCTATTCTCAACATTTCAGTCATTTGGTGGTTCGTTACTCGTCTCTGTACTTCTGTTATCTGTGTATTGTTTTGTGTCTGTTTTCCAATACTCAAAAAAAAAAAAAGAAAAAAAAAGAGGAAATGTCTGGCATCGAATTCGGTATTGATGTTGCTGGCAATGTTGCTGGCAATGTTGCTGGCAATGTTGCAGGGAACCTGGTTGATAGAATTTTGAATCTAATCTGGAACAGAATAGCTCGTGTGTTCAAATGGAAGACTAATTTAAAGAATCTGGAGGAAGAAGTTAAGAAGCTGGAGGATAAAATAGAGAGTGTGCGGGAATTGATGGAAGCTGCTGAAAGAAAAGGGGAAGAGGCCAGGCGGAAGGTCAAGAGTTGGCTGACTGATGCAGAGAAGTACATTGGAGAGATGAAGTCAGAGGATGATGAAGATAAAGCCAAGAAGAAGTGTTTCCTAGGGTTCTGTCCTAATCCCAGGGCACGTTACCAAATCAGCAAGAAAGTGGAGAAGTATTTGGTGGATGTTATTCGACTCCTAAAAGAAGCTGACAAATTCAAGATCCCAGATTTCTACTGTCCTCCAAAATCTACAGCACCAGTTAATAAAGGTTTTGAGGGTTTTGGGTCAAGAACACCTGATTTGAACCGTATTATGGAGGCCTTGAGAAGGGCTGGCACTGACAAGATAGGTATTTATGGAATGCCTGGTGTTGGAAAGACCATGTTAGCCAAAGAAGTTGCCAGACGAGCTGAGGAAGCCCACTTATTTCATTCAGTTGTATTCGCTTCTGTGAGAAAGGAGCCGGACTTGAAAAGAATTCAAGGAGAAATTGCTGACAACTTAGACCTACAGCTTCATGGGGAGACTGAAGTTGGGAGAGCAAAGCAACTAAAGGATTATCTGAAGAAAAAGAAGAGGATTCTTGTGATTTTAGATGACATCTGGTCGAGGCTAGATTTGGATGAACTTGGAATTCCTTTTGAAGAGATAAAGAATGAGGCATGGTTAAAAAAGAATGAGGAAAGTTCAAAGGGTGAAGAACAGATGCAATGCAAGATTCTCTGCACATCTAGATCTCACGATGTCTTAACACGTGAAATGGGTACTAATCAAAATTTGAAAGTTGACTCATTGCCAGCTGACGAAGCATGGGAGCTTTTGAAGAAGATAGTTGGTCCTGAAATTGAAAATCCTGGCTTGCGGGATACAGCAATGGATATTGCCAAAGCATGTGCTGGGCTGCCACTAGCTATTCAATCTGTTGGCAAGGCTTTGAGAGGAAAGGATTCTTATGAATGGAGGAATGCTCTGCTACGACTGCAAACGCCCTCTCCAGAGAACTTCATGGGGATCTCTGCAAATGTTTATTCTGCAATTGAATTGAGTTACAACTACTTAGAAGGAGAAGAATTAAAGCAAACTTTCTTGCTTTGTGGTTTGCTTGGACAGAGTGCTTATGTAGAAGACTTGCTAACATATGGCATTGGTTTGGGCTTATTTCATAATGTCAAGACAATCGGACAAGCACGAGACAGGGTACTAACATGGGTTAGGAAGCTAAAATCTTGTTCTTTGTTGCTTGATGATTCTAGCAATACTCACATTAATATGCATGATATTGTTCTTGATGTTGCCATATCAATTGCCTCAAGGGACTACCATGCGTTATCATTAATAGATGACAACGTACCCGAAAAGTGGTCAGATAGGGAGGCCATGGGAGATGTCAAATGGATTAGTTTGCGACATGCTAATATTAGTGAGCTCCCTGATGAGCTGGAATGTCGGCAACTTACCTTATTCCATTTAGCTAGCAAGAATCCTTCTATGAAAATTCCAGACAATTTTTTCCGGGGAATGCCAAATCTCAGAGTCTTGAATTTTACCACGATGTATTTCTTATCCATGCCTTCATCAATTTGCCTTCTGAAAAACCTCCGTGCATTACATATCAATGACAGTGCTATAAAAGAAATAGCTATTGTTGCAGAGCTGAGTGGTTTGGAAGTCCTTAGCCTTTCAAGAAGTGATATTGAAGAGTTGCCAACGGAAATTGGACATCTGACCCAACTAAAGTTTTTAGATTTGAATGATTGTACTAAGCTCAAAGTGATACGACCCCATGTCTTAGAGAGTTTGTCCAGGCTAGAAGAACTGTATCTGCAAAACAGCTTCAATCAATGGGATGCTAACGGACTTGGAAATCAAAGAAATGCTAGCCTTGCTGAGTTGAAGGATTTGCATAACCTAGTTGCTTTAGATGTGCAGGCATGTGATGTCCAACTTATTCCAGAAGACTTATTCTCTGAAAGATTGAATAGATACAAGATATTCATTGGAAAGGTGTGGAACGTTAACAGCTGGGATAGTTCTTCTGAAAGCTCAAAAATATTGAAGCTGGAGTTGAATACAAGAATTACTCGTTTCCATTCTATTTGCATGTTGTTAAAGAAAACAGAAGAACTACATTTTGAGAAACTGAGGGTTGTGAAGAATATAGTTCCTCAGTTAGATGTTGAAGATTTTCAAGAACTGAAGTATCTTTACGTTAAAAATGCTCCTGAGATTCAGCATATCATTAACTCAGTGGGGGAGATTCCTTGCCATGTATTTCCCCTCTTAGAAGTACTATTTCTTCAGAATTTGCATAATATGGCGAAGATTTGTCATGGCCAGCTTGCAGAAACATCTTTTAGAAGATTGAGAACTATAACCATTGAACGTTGTAATCAGCTAGAGAGTTTGTTCCCATTCTCCATAGCTAGACGACTTCAACTTAAGGAAATTAGAGTAACAAAGTGCTCTAATATGCTAGAGATTGTTGATGAGGAAGGGCAAGCGACTGCTAATGATATAGCTGAAGCAAATGAGAATTTCGAGTTTGCCCATCTACTGTCCTTGAAATTGCAGTATTTGCCAAAGTTCATTAGATTGTGCCATGGACTTGTGGAAGAAAATGATTCAAGGTCCAAGCCTGTATCACTTTTCAATGAAAAGGTATTTATAGTTTTTCTTTTATACAACATATATAGCACATAAACCCTAAATAGATTAATTAATAGGAACTTGAGATCTCTACTAGGCATTGTACTCTATTGGCTGGGCTTGATTGTGTTATAAGTAAACAATTGGCCTTGTTTAGATAAAAATACAAATGTGTGATTGAAAATTAAGTAAAGCTTTTTTTTGGTTTTGTAGAATTTGTTTTGAAACATATACGTTTTTGGTTCATGGAAGAAAAATAAAATGAAAATAAACAAAAATGATTTTTTTTTCGTTGTTTATAATGTGATTCTGTTAAAAGTAAAGCAAATACAATTTATAGTGAAACACTAAATCATAAGCTCTTTTTTTTTTTCACTTCTAAAATCTTTCTTGTCCTGAATAACTTCCATGAACCAAGCATAACATTAAATTCCTATGGGTCAAAATCATTGCATGAGCTTCCAACCTTAAATCTTGATGTCTGCTTAGATGCCTTTAATTAGACGTATATTTTGAATTATATTGGGACAAAGAATCATGTGATTGTTTTGCAGATTGTCTTTCCAAACCTCGAGAAGTTGGAGTTGTCCTCGCTGAACATTAAAAGTATATGGAGCAGTCAGCTTTCTGCAAAATCCTGCTATGTGCAGAGTCTGACAGATTTGATCATTAAGGGCTGTGGTCATTTGAAACACCTATTGTCATTCTCTATGGCTAAATGTCTAGTTCAGCTAAGATACCTTCGGATAGACACATGCAAGAGGATGAGAGAGATAATTGCACCAGAGGATCCAGAAGAAATGGAAGATTTGAATTTGTTCCCCATGTTAAACGACCTGTATATGGGAGATCTTGAAAACCTTAGTAGATTTTGCCCCGGAAACTATAGTATTGAATTCACAACCTTGAAGAAATTGGTTATATACAAATGTCCAGAATTGAATGGGTTCATAGGCAATGTGGGCACAGATGTCACAGGTGGAATACAGTCCCTCTTTAATGAAAAGGTACAAATTTTTATTTCACTTCCATTTTGGCCTTAATTTTAGTAACTAATTCTGTTCCCTTAATACTTTTGATTAATTTGACAAATTATGCAGGTTGCTTTTCCCAGCTTGGAACAATTGGAAATCAGTAGCTTGGAGATGTTGCGGATCATATGGCACCACCAACTCCCTGCAGATTCGTTCTGCAAACTAAAAAATTTATCCATTTCATCTTGTGATAAATTATTGAATATTTTTCCATCTTATAAGCTTGCCAGATTATTGACATCAGTGGAGGAGTTAAGGGTAAGAGAATGTGATAGTCTAGAAGAGATATTTGAACTTGGGGAATTGAATGTGGAAGAGTCACATGCTGTGGTAAACACTCGGTTAAGAGATTTGTCTTTGGGGTTTTTACCAAGGTTGAAGCATTTGTGGAGCAAGGATCCCTGCAGAATTCTCACTTTCCGGAACTTGTGGTCCGTGGCAGTTGTCCAGTGCAAGAACCTCAAAAATATATTTCCAGCTGCATTGGCTATGGACCTTCAGCAACTTGAAGTTTTGAGGATAGAACTTTGCGATGTGATGGAGGAAGTTGTAGCATTGGAAGTAGGAGATGAAGCAGTTCCTAGGTTTGCGCTTCCTCATTTATCTACTCTTAAGCTGCAGCATCTACCAAGTCTCAAATATTTCTATCCTCGAAAACACATAATAGAGTGCCCCAAGTTAAAAGATTTCTATGCATATGGTTGCGGCTCTTCAGTAGAAACAAAAGGAGAAAGGCTTGGCATATCTCCGATTCAACAACTGCTTTTCTCTATGGAAAAGGTATGAGCCTCAGTTACAAAACAATTTTATAGTAACTATTTTTTTTTGTCCTTTTTGGCTTTTGCTTCCGAGTTTTGGTTAGATCTATTACGTAGCTCTTGTCAAAACAAAATTTAACAGCTGTTGTTCATAAGGAAAATAATTCGCTATAAGCAATTTCTTAAAATGAATTGTCAAAGGTAAAAAAAATATGAAGAATAAATTTATAGGACACAAAAGTTTAAAGCAAACATAGTTATTCGGCATTTACCAAAGAAAATATGGGTTTATTAAGCTAATATATTTTTTTATGCTAAATTAATATAAAATATAATAATATAATAATCATTATTAAAGATAAAAAATGAAGTTAAAATTAATTAAATAAGTACTAATTAAAAATCATATTCAAAAATTAAAAAATTAAAATGAATAAATTTGTTAATAAAATTAAAAAATTTCAATTTTCTAGTAGTTTAGTACAAAGCACTATCTAGGTTAGCTTTTTTCATCCACTAATTGTTTAGACTATAATTGTTATTCGTTAGTTCTAGATTACTAAATAAAAATTTTTACTAACTATTTTATTTGTAATGATTTCAAAATATAAAAATTTCCTAAAATACTTATTCTTAATAATTTAGACAAAACCATTAATCATTACCCCGAATTACTATCAAATGAGCCTTTAGTGGAGGCAACGCCGAATGTCCACACCTAATTGGCGGAGAGATAAAAAATGGGTTTAAATCAAATTTGTCATTTATATTGGCTGTGTTCTAGAATAGGCATTATCTTTTTAATTTTTTTCTCAAATTAAGAATTGAAAAATAATTTATATTTATAAAGAGAAACTTCTTTAAATAGGATGAATAATTAAAGTTATTATATAAAAAACGGGATTTTTTTTTTTTGAGATAATGGCTAAGGGAATAGGATTGTGTGAAATATTTAACTAGAATTAATTAATAGAACACTCAACCTAAGACTTGTTTGTCAGTACTGTGCTACGTTATGGCTATATGTAGGTTTTTTTTTTTT